TTTTATTACTGCTCCCTCCCTGCCCCCTCCTACCCCCCTTTGTATTTTGACGTAGCAACTTTGGAAGAAAGAAAAGCAGACACGGTAAAGTCACCAAGAGCTACCTCTGGGTTGAGGGGGGGCTGCACTCATGGAGACAGGGGGAGGCAGTTTCCCACTGGACCCCCACCTTGCTGTCCAATAGAGGGGAGGGGGGGTCCAGACTTTGTGAGGAGATCTCTGTCCCTGCCTTCTAGCAGCCCCCCTGACTTGCCGCACTCTTATTTCTTTCTCCACGTATGTAAATATCTACAAAAAGCTTAAAAAAAAATCAAAAAAACCACAAAAAATGCCCACGACCTTAACTATTTGCTCTGACTTGTATCTTCCTTAATAGGCAACTCAAAATGGCTTGTTGGTCCAAATCACCAGCAATAAGGCGAACTAAAGAAAGACCCACCCCACTCTGCCCTCCCCCAGACCCTTTTCTCCTCTGCGGCGTCACCGGTCCGTCCTGGTTCCCTCTCGTACGGATGTGCGCTGCTCCCTCGTGCGACTCGCACAGGGATCCATGTGCATGGAGGGAGGGAGGGGTGCCCACCTTGCACTAGTTACCCCAGTGCAATCGTCTCTGGTCTAGACAGTCCTTCTGCCCCCGTCTGACCACTGGCAGGGGAGGGGACCATTTGGGGTCCCCTCCTGTCACTCCCCCTAAAAGCAGGATGGAGGGGAGTGTTGTATTGAAACAGAGCCTGGCAAGCTGCTGTTCCCTCCCCGCCCCACCCTCATGTCCCCCAAGCCCAGAACGTGCAAGCCCTTTCACCAACGCTTTGCTTCCCTTGCACGAGTCGCCCTGTGGATGTGCACGAAGCTTCTTGGCGTGGGAAGTGACTGTGCATGGCTTGGCATACATGGGCTGGGGGTGCCCGACTTTAGGCACCATCCGGGCTCCCGGGAACGATGGGGCCAGTGGCATGAGAATCCTGTTGCAATTTGCTGTGGTCATATATAACCCCAAGCGGGGCGCGATGCTGGCCCCCGATCCTGTCCAGCACTTGGGCACCAGCTTAACTTTAAGCACGTGCTTCTGCACTTGGCCAGATAGCAGGGGGGAGCCTCTCCGATGGGCTCCAGGCCAAGCCTGCAAGGTGATGGAGCTCACCGGTGACAGGGCTCAGATGCCAGGGTGGCAGGCACCCCTAAAGACCCTGGATGCCTGCAGATGCCAGGAACTGAGACCGGTCCATATCTGAGCCATCTTGAATTCGGTCTAGGAGCAGGGAAGTCTTGTTGGCTTTATATATGGCACTTTGGGGGTCAGATCACCTCTTCCACTGTGGGGAGGGGAGAGAGGAGGAGGGGAGGCCGGACAGGCCATCCAGAGGAGATCCCGTCAGGGGTTACTTAATAGCATCCGTACTTCCCGCGTACCGATATGCTATGTCTTTGGCCATTGTTTTAGAGGTGTCTGGGTGGGGGAGTGGGCTGCGCGGGGCGGGGAGGGGCGGGAAATGCTAAATATAACAAGGGGGAAGGGATGAATATGAAATACCTTACTGTGATGTCATCCCATCATCATAAATTATATAGAGAATAGTATGTATTATAATGCATAAGAGAAAAGGAAAAAAAAGAACCAAAATTGGATTTATATTTAAATGAGGAGATACTATAAGAATATCTTGTCCTAGCTCCCACTTGCAAAAAAAAAAAAGTATTTTTCAGCTGGAGGGATATCTATTATTTTTTTCTCTTTTCTTTCTTTCTTTCTTTCTTTCTTTTT